GGGTACAAGTAATCTTAACAAATATTATAATTAAGTATTTTGAGTCAGTACTGTATATCTGATTCCTTTGGATAATTGTTGATAATAATAAGCGCGTTTCCTAGGACCCTAAATTATCGTTAAAATTAGTATCTAAGACTTAATAGTAAATTTGGTATTGACATCTGCCTTATTAAGATGCTACATTTATATTTAACGGAGTAGAAGAACAAGTAGGCGACTTATTGCACAATATATGGACTTTGGGCTTTAGTTATTTGAATCGGCGATTTCTTAGTATTAGCATTAGTATGACAAAACCCGGAATTTACCATGTTACACGACGTTTCATCTACTAATACGAACATCTGCCGCTTCATTCAATGTTGTAGATGTCTAATAATCCGTACAAAGAATGGCTAAAAGAAAGCACTCAAAACGGGACAATCTATTGCTGTACAGAAAATGACATAAACCTGGAACCGAGCGTTATTGGCGTGGGAGCATTTGGAGCGGTTTATAAGGCAACGATAAGGCAAGGAAATGGCATTTTCTCTAATATGACCGTTGCGGTAAAGATATTGCACGAACAACTAGAAGATTTGGCATATTTCAGAGAACGAGTCAATGAGGTTGCTTTATCACCTTTCCATTATGCTTGTCGTACATTCATGCTTTGTATCAACTAACCTTTGAAATGAATGTTATCATTAGCTAAGATGCCACATGGAATTGAATAACCATCCGAATATCATTCGCTTTTTCGGTTTATATAATGGTACGTTCAGTTTATCGTAATTTCCTTGACGTGATTACAAATAACAGTTCTTTATTTTGACGGCATACAGACCGCCATGACAACTATCACATGATTTTTGAATTTGCTTGCGGTGGAACTTTACGTGAATACTTGAGACGCTTCAACGATTTAACTTGGAAACGCAAATACGAACTGGGCTTAGACGTTACTAATGGGCTAAAACATGTACATGAACTTGGTATCGTTCACAAGGATTTGGTAAATAACGCGCGCATGTTGATTGCACAGTTTGAGATTTCGAGCCTTTATTGAACGTACTAATTACACCGTTTGAACTTCATTCACTTTAAACTAACTATGTACGTTATTTCTCTAGACATCGTATAACGTTCTTATCAAATCCGATGTCGCAAAGATAACTGATTTCGGGTTATCTAGTGTGTTGGAACAAGCGATGTCTTATTCACGTGAATTTGGTGTACCCGCATACAAAGATCCGATATCGTTTAAGAACGAATCATATCGACGCGGAAAGAAATCCGACATATTTAGTCTCGGAGTATTACTATGGGAGATATCTAGTGGAACCGTTCCATGCGAAGGACGTACTGAAGGTGTCGATATTATTTTGTATAGACTTGCAGGCGCTCGTGATTCCCCATTTCCTGGAACGCCTGAAAATTATATTGACTTATATTCAGCATGCTGGGATGAAGACCCCAATGATCGGCCTTCTTGTGTAGAAGTTTATGAGAGCTTGACGTATTGTGATCGAGTGAATGTTTTTAATAATCCGTCGATTATGGAACCAAGCATTCCACCAAGACCTCATGATTGGACTTCTGGCAACAAGTCTTTGGATTCGTTTATTATGGAATCATGGAGTAATACAACGGATGAATACGATGGTTACATACAATGGATAGAGTATTCTCAATTGACAAACGTAAAAAAGATGACCTCGTTACGCCATGGATGCACACATATAGCGGATTGGACACCGAATGGATTGACAAGATTTATTGGGCATAGCTACAGTAGACTGTTAAAGCTGTTTAAGCTGCCTGGGAAAAAGCGGCACTTGAATGGATCGACAAGAGTGACACTCAAAATGATAGAATACAACCAGTCATTTGATTTTCATCAGGTAAATTATTTACGTGCGTGCAAAATATGCCATCGATAAGTGTGTATCGTGTGTTTAACATCGATTATTGTTGAAACAATTGTATTTTATAGCTAATCAAGGAATATCCCGAAATATTAACACCAGATAACATTTGGATAATTGGAATTACTCAGGAGCTATCTACTCATGAATATTATTTAGTGTTCTACCACGACGTACATGCGCTATTGAACACCTTTATACAAAATCATGAGCATGTAAAGTACATGCAGTATAATGACTTTGATAAAATTAAGGAGGTCGGATCTGGTGCCTATGGAACAGTTCATACCGCCAATTATAAAAAGTATTCAGAAGTACAGAATATGAAGGAAATTGTTGTACTTAAACAGTTTAAGAGTTTTGATGAAATGCCGGAATTATTTATTTCTGAAGTAAGCAACAATAATTAATAATTGGTATTAATTAAACAGTATTTAATTTGACGCTATATTTATTTTATTTAATAGATCAGAAATCATACCAAGTGTGCAAACAAGTGTTCATTTCTTAAAATTTATGGAGTGACACAAGATCCAGAAACAAAAGCGTATGTGATTGTTATGAAATATGCTAACAATGGTAGTCTTTTGTCTTATTTGGATCGAAATATTAACAACATGACATGGCACACGAAATTACGACACTTGTGGTATATTGCATTTTACCTGTATGCTATTCATATCGCGGGATTAGTGCATTGTGACCTTCACGGCGGAAACATTGTTTTTCGTGATAATGAACCATTAATATGCGATCTTGGCCTGTCACGATCAGTGAATTCACGCCAACAAAATTCAACTATTCGAGGTGTCTTACCTTTCATTGCCCCGGAAGTCTTCTATACCTGCAAATTTACTCAAAAATCAGATGTGTATGCTTTTGGTATCATTATGTATTTGATTGCTACTGGCGAACCACCTTTTATAGACAGAGAATTCGATAAGTACTTAGCATGTGATATTATGGGCGGATTACGACCAACAATGCCTGATTTTGCACCAGAGGAATACAAGAAACTTGCCGAGCGGTGTTGTGATGCTGATCCTGATAAGCGTCCTGATGCAAAGACGCTTGCGAGTGATATTAACGATCTTATCGGAAAGGTGGCCAAGTCTGATGACAGCATATGGAAGACCGTTTATCATAATGATGTTAAACATTTATCACGTCTCAAGAAGGGGAGTAAATATTCTCGTATGCTCTTACCTACAAGAGATTTATCTAAACCGAGAAACAGCTACGATTTCGATTCAGTTGCAGGTATGAAGACAGCAATTGGTCATAAAAGAAGTTATTTATAATACTAAAATTGCCTACTGCTTATGATTTAGGGACTCAAACTTTTTCCATTTAAATACAGTATGCCTATACTAATTAATACTTATCGTGCACTGAAAGTGTTTCAACAACTCGTATGTCAATGAATGGGTGTCACGGGGTTCTGTGTATGTGGTCGACTTAAAGAATTTAAGAGGCTTCACCTCTTCAGTAATCCGTAATCGCGAATGACCCATACGTTTCTTATCAGTGGCTCAACGTTCAAAGTAGAGATATAGAATAGTTCACAATAGGGCATTTATTCAATAAGGAATATTTCCGGTTTTTCACAGAACTTACCTCTCTGTCGAAGACATTTATTGTCTTTCGGTATATTACTGGTAAAAAAAATTGCGCGATTGATGTAACATTTAACTTACTGTTATCACATGTTTGTGGCATCTACGTCGAGAAAAAGCAGAGAAGGACAAGATGAAAGTGAAGGTTGATACGATCAATGAGTAAATGATTTTGCTTATGCGTGACTCGCTGTATTAGTTTTTTTTTTGCGTGAATGTCATATTGATAATATTGATAATATTGATATAGAAATAGGCATTTGTCTTCATTCAAAAGCTTAGTTCCCAGAGTACTTCTTGAGTTTCAAGTAGTTTATGTTATGCTGAAGATGCAGCAGAGTATCAGAAGTCCGTGATGAATTCTGGTTTGGCGTTTTGGATATTAAAGCATTATGCTCGAGAACTATTGGGAGTCAATGACGATTACAATTGTAGTAAGTATCAGATAAATACTATTAATACAGTTTTACTGTATAATGAATATAAACTTTTAATTTTGTAGACAACAATAAAAACGTCAACAAAGAAATGCAACATAAGACGAACGTTGAACGTCGCTTCTACGCTGAATACATTTTACCATGCGTAGCTAATGTTGTATCTGAAGACGAGATTATTATAGAATTCGACCTCACTTGTGTAAATATGATTGTTTACAAAGTGGTGTAGCGTAATATCTATTTAATTATTCCAATTTTAACTCTGTTTTAGTCAAAAGTCGATCTTCATTGGTTTGTTTATACCCAGAAGAAAAGTTAGATGTTATGAAACGTGACTTGAAAATTGAGACGCTTCCAACTGGTGTAAAAATGATTGGTTATGGGCAATATCGTTATCCTGATAGAACACATGGTATCAACGCGAACATGAATAGACACGCGTGTGATCTGTTACAGTATTATTGTGTCTACTATCACGCGTGCGTAAAATTATAAATAGGTTTTTTATTCCCAAATTTATGCGCGCCTGTAATTATTCGGACACGACAATTGCTATTTTTTTCCCATAATGTTATTATTGAGAACTTATGCTCTGAGCCTTCATGCACTTTATGGAAGGCTAACGTCCAGCGCAGAATGGTCTGTTGTTCGTATTATACATTCGTTTCATTCAAAAGACAGTCATAATAAAACTGTCTGAGCAAAAAGGTTGCATTTATTTTTTGAACAATAAGATAGTAATAGCTAATAAGTCTAAAATGTCACTAAAAATAGTCCGGATTTGTGCAAAGTCTTACTACTTAATCGCTGATTTTTCAGTTACACCAACCATTTGTGTCGTCCCTTCGACATGTTTGTTCAGGTCTGTACTAATACGTGAAAATTTCACGATATCCGTCACCGAGCCTAAATATTTAATGCTTAGCGAACACGTAAAATTAAATGTCAATTTGCCTACAGATATTGTTGACATGCTTGGCGTGGAAACAATTTCATAGTTAATAATGTCACATGTACGCGTGATAATTAGTTACGACAAAAGACACTCGTTTGTCAATAATATCGATATATGGCGTGTGTTCTATCAGGAAAATCAAATTGCTTATAATTAATCATTTTTACACCAGTTGGAAAAGTTTCAATTTCCGAGTTGCGTTCCATAGTATCCAACATTTCTTCCGAATATAAGCACACAAAATAGGGACTTATTGATTGCTAAAGTAAAATTAAAGTTAGAAAAAATTGAATACATGTTCAAAATAATAAAGAAACCCATACATACACTGTTAACCAGTTCTATAATAATATTGTCTTCAGACAAAACGTTAACCGCGCATGGTAAAATGTATTCAGTCACATAGTTGGTTATAGTAACTTTAATGTCCATCGTATATTGTATTTCTTCAATTGATGTTTTTATCTACATAAAAAGTTTATATTAATACGTACAATAAACTATATAATCAACAACGCTTATCTAATACTTACTTCCATTGTAATTGTATTTGATTTCCAATAATTCCACAACTTAATGCCGAGTTTGTATTTATTTGGAGGTACTTTGAATATTGGTATTGTTACCTAATATATAATTATTTATTAGTTAATATTCACAACGTATACAAACGTTGATAAATAATAATGATTATACACTTACTTTATTAGGTGCATAAAGGGACAAACATCCATAAACATAGTTACTATTGAATGATATGTGTTAGTAGTGACACAGTAACAACATAACAAAATAATTGTTGTAATTACTTACGCATGACATTTACTCCTATCATCAACATGACTTTCATATATGAAATGTGCTTTCAAATGACCTAATATTAATAGTAATTAGTATGCATAATAATATATAATTATGTAATCATTGCCAACCCCTTACTTTTGTGCATGTAATAAACTTTTTCAAAAAACGCGTTTATACTCATGTGGTTATGCGGAGTATTGTTATACTCTTTATACCAAGATGCAGCAGTGTTGTACCATCTGGTGTAATCATCCATTCCTATTCCATACTGATAGTTACACAGTAATTGCCATTGATTGATATTATTCAACTTATACTCTGTAAGAACTACTATCAACAAGAATTCTAAACCATTCCACATCAAAGTTTTCAAGTTTGTTTACATATTCATTAATAACGCGAAATGTCTTTGCTTGATTGTATGTTTCCCTAATATGTCTAATCTCTTGTCTAGCCCCCCCTTTATTTCCCAACCCTAAATGTGCCAATAAACTTAAATACCAAGCATCATCATAAATCTTGTTTACTTCAATTGATGTCTCAATATCAAACAGGGCTTTTCCAAAATTTTTCATTTTTATCTTTATCATCGCCCTATTACACAGTGCTTGATAACTTGTGGGTTCAGCTTGTAATACTTGTGTACAAATGTTCAAAGCCTTTTCCAACTTATTATCTTCATATGCAGCTTTAGCTTTTTGAAGCAATTTATCAATATTTGGTGCTGTTAGTGATTTCCAAATTGAACTCCAGGCAGAATCAGAAATATACTTCCTCATTCCGTTTTTCCATTTTTGTTTTTTCAGATCATCACCCTCATCAAGTATTTTTGCATCTGCATTATTTCCAGCATTATAATTAGCATTATTAGTGTCTTGACCATCAATGTCTGTAATATGCATATAATAATAATGTTGGACATTATTGAATATGATCTGTTGTGGCAAATAATACACTTTGTCCTTTTTAATTTCACTTCTGCAGTAAGGACACTCAAGATGATTTAATGACAAAAGAGCTTTTGAACTAATAATATGTTGACAACTGAGTTGATAAAAGTCACCAACTGGTTCACAAATAATAGCACATGTTAGATCTTCTGCAATATAATCAATTGGATTTTTCTCAACATCTTTTCCTTTTCCTTTCTTTTTGTCTTGTTGTTCCTCATTTTGAACACTTGTCATTATCTGGCCTGGTGAGTACTTTGAAGTCATTTTTGATTGAATATCTATTTTATCTCTCAGATAATAGTACATGCCAACCAATCTTGGTATATATTTCTCATCACAACCAGCAATATCATCAGATGTTGTAACAAACAATTCATTATCTTTGGCTTCAAGACTCAATAACACTTCAATGGATTTGAATTGAATAAATTCTGTAGTTGCATTATTTAATGAGTCTAAGGCAATGTAATAACAAATTGCCTGTGTAGTTGTAGAAAACGTTTTATGGATAAGTTGCTGGATAGTGTCCAAGATGCCAAACCAGAGTTCATCACTGACATCCTGATTCTCTGCTGCATCTTCAGCATAACATAAACTGATGTGATACCAGAGATATTCAAGAAGCACTCTTTCTTTGAAACTTGCTGAAATAGCAGACTCTTGTTCACACCACTTATCAAGACAATCTTGTAAAATAATAAGCCTTCTCCAGGTTGTATACCAAGGCTTGCCTGATGGTTCAATATAAAAGGCTTCTATGAAATATTTCCAGGATCTCTCTATTACTATATCAAAATCACCAAGAGGGACTTCAACTTTTGCAATTAATTGAATGCCAATTTTAGCTAACCCAGGAACAGCAACAAGTAAACCTTTTAATGCAGCAATGGCTCGATCAATCCTTGTCTTATATGGGGTCCTATCACTAGAAACAGCATTTAATGTATTCTTAATAAGTTTGAGAAGATATCTAATATTGTAATTGCATTTAAAGTCTCCAATGCTTTTGTCCGATTTATTAAATTCCGCATAATCAGGTTTCCAAATTTCCCCTCTATGCTGCATAATTTTTGAGTGCGCCTTCTTGTAGATAGAAGTGACTTGTCTTATGCCATCGAGAAACTGACATGTAAATTGGCACTCATTTTGAAACATTAGCTCAAGTATAATCACAATAATTCGTAACTGCCATTCCGACTTAATAGTTGTTTCTCCTGAGAACACTTCATCAAACTCTTGAGAACGTAAACTCTTCACAATTGCAATCAACACTTCCACTGACACGGACTCTCCGTTATGTTGAAGAATGTATTTCAACGCATAAATATTTCGAGAGTATTTCAAGCCTGTTAACAATTCCTCTATTTGCTCATCTGCTGACATAAGGCCTTGTTCCATTAACTGAATTATAATCTTAGGGAAACCGCCTTGGTTTACGGTGTTGCTCGGCGTTGAAGTAGACGTCATCGAGAGAGTACTTGCTGTAGCGTCTTTGTTGAGTTTGAACTTATCGGGGTAATTATAATGGAGCTCCTCGTATGACATATCTTCTGACGATTTGCTATTGGCTTTTGCATGTGTGACAAAATCTATACGGTGCGAGTAGATCTCAGTATTAATGTGTATATACTGTATATGGTGCATTTCATCTAATAAATTATTCAACTTTCAAAACCCTAAGGCTTTTCTATTAGAGAATATGGAGAAAAACTAATCCGTAAGAATGATAGAACAGATGATGCAGAACAAAAGTTTTGAGTTTTAGGGATTTGAAAAGTAACAGTTTTCTTATGTTTTCTTAATATTAACATTAAGAAAAATAGAAATTTTCGGACACACCGGTTGTGTAACTTTCGCGTGTAACAATCCGTTATCCAATAAATGCATGTAGTTTCTTTATTTCACCTCTCACTATCTAGGTTACAGTAGGTAGCTGATGTTAAAACTAGCTGTAGCACGTATGTGTAGCTTGGAAATAAAGTCTTACACTATCAATAAATGCATGTAGTTTTCATGAGCATTCTCTATTATTTCACTATGCCTCGACCACCTAAAAGAAAAGCCGCACACCAAAAAGTGAACCGGATTTTCTGGCTCAAAGATCAGGTTTGGTTAAAACGATCGAAAATTCCGTATTTTTTTGCCAAAATTTCACTGTGAATTGAACTTTATTGAACGTTATTGGGTCGCGGCCAAACGATATGCAAGAAATAACTGTAATTATACATGGAGCGGATTACAAAAAACAGCCCCTCGTGCTCTTGATTCCGTTGATTTAATAACAATTCGTAGATTTGCGCGAAAAACGTGGCAATATATGGATTTGTACAGACATGGAATTACAGGTAAGTTAGCAGAATATGCTGCTAAAAAATATAAATCGCACAGAAGAATCCCCGAAGATGCATGGGATGAATTACGAACAAATTAATATTAATTCGATCAACTTTCTAAACCAGAAATTTAACGAAACGTAAGTGCACGGTATATAATATAAATAAGCATACGCTGTTCAATTAATATTAAAGTCGAATTTTTCAAAATAAAATTTGATCGATGAAAACCACAAATCCTTATTGTGATTTCAGAGTATTTTATTGGGCGAATGTCATGTGATTGTTAATGATCTGCAGAACGAAATTTCTTTAGATGAAATGCACCATATAAATAAAACAATTGAGTTCATACTACTGCAAAAATAAGCATTCATATTCCCAGCGTTAAGCTAACCTATCATAAGAGGCAAATTGTTTCAGTGAAAATTGTCCGTTCGTTTAGATATTGTCAACCACAAACTTCTTTCGAGACATGCCACAAACTTTTACGTCACGATAACGTTACTATAGACCCGTTTCGTGCTTCATCAAGATTGACCTGTCAACTTTTTCAACCCAATACTGGCAGAACCTTTGGGGAATGTTATTTCAGTACAAGACAAACACAAGGAGACTGTCGACTTATTCTCATATCATTACACGCAACATTCGCTCGCAACAAAGTTAATGGCAACTCCTTTTCATGGCCAAACATCTTTCTACATTCGAATTACAGACAAAATTTTCTAGACCACGGCGTGCATTTAGAGGGAGTATGCCTTTAGGGGAGATAGTAATTTGTGTAACACCATAAGATTATATTAAGATGGATGTTTATTTATTCAATTAAATATTGGTTTATGGTTATTTGTCTTATTTGACTACTTTTTATCCATTAACAAATTTTTCAAAACTATTTAACTGTCTTATCTACTCACTTGTGTTC